AATAGGAGATCATAGGAATATTTAGAAAAAAATCTTTGAATTGCTTTTTCTAGTGAACAGCAAATCCATGATAAGGCATATTGATTAGAAAGCATCCTCAGTTAGTTTAGATTCAACTTTGTTCAGATCAGGGCCCTTGAAAATAGGTTGAGACTACAATAGGTTATCTGAGTTTTACAAGAAAGTACATTTGTACAAAGGACAAAATCTATCAAAAAGAAAGTTGCAAGATCACTCTAATCTTTTTAATAAGCAAAACATACCTAAGATATGTAGAATAGATTTTTTTTTTTTAATTATGAGACTTAATTGGGTTAAAGTTGAGCCAGAATAAGAGATTCATTTTTTACATAATGCATATGTACAGGAAAAAGAAAATCTCTTCCAAAACAGCAGAGCACTGCCGATCATATTGAAATTGAAGCATCCCAATGTTGCGTTGTTTTATCTTTGAATAAATCGTAACTACTTTAGGTCTAGATTTTGGTCCACAACTTGGAGTCAAAATATTTATGAAATTAAAGAGAGAAATAAAAAAAAAATTCTGCTGGGCAAAAGTGACTCAGGTGATTGTTGTGGTCTATGGGCCTCTTTTTTAAAAAACAATCAAGTTTTTTTGCCCCAAAAGTCCTAAACGACCCAATATCGTCTTGATGTCAAACAACCTGTTTTAAAACCAGGGGTTACGTACATTTAAAAAAAGAGACTTCCCCTATTCCGCTAGTAGCCCATGGCTCGAACAATAATAATAGTTAAATCATCTACAGATTTATTAACACTACACACTAAATAGATCTAAATCTTTGGTAGTTTATCTGTTCTTAGTTGTCCTTAGATTTCAAATAAAATAAAATTAAATATGCACTGTATCATTAAATCTGTAATAAATTCAAACATTCTTAGCATTTTACTAGGCTAAGAAAAATTAATTGAACACTTTATTTGCAGGTTTTTGGACCCATCTTTCCCATCTGAGCAAAAGTGATTCATGTTCATCAAGACGTCTTTCTCTTAGTTTTTTTTCTGTAGATTAAATGGCTGTGTATACTGTGTTGAAATTGAAACAGATGAACGCATTTTTTCGATGAACGTTTTATTGGTGTATAAGAGGGTCCTTAATTCATTTAAAATTAACCATTCGTAAAAATTGGACATGTTGAAAAAAATTTAACTATTTACACTATTGAAAAATTATTATTTGACAAAAAAAATATATATATATATAGAATTGTTGATATCAACCGGGTCTCTTGAAAATTTGTAGGAGTCGTACGGGGCAAAGTGCTTTGCGAGAAAGACTATAACCCTACCTTTACCTTGATAGTTTTAAATTTATCATTAAAATATTAAAAGAAATAAACCCTTACATCTTCAGCAGTTTTTAATGCCCATTATCATAAGGACACAGACAGGTGCTATAAAGGGATGCTGTAGAGAGATATTTTCAGGAATAACAAACCTTTACGTTATTACTATGTGAAATTAAACATCAACATTAATATGGGCATTGTCCTTGCCTCTCTGAAAAAAAAAAGTTTACAATGATTAAAATAATGTCACTTGAAGTCATCATTTTTTTTTAAATAAAAAAAAGTTACATACAATGGGAAACACTTTGTAAGAACGTAAAATAGAAGAATTGAATAAGTGTCTAGGTTGTGTCCCTTTGTAGTGTTAATAGAAGCAGAAAATAGTAGATAATGTCCAATTATCATATGGGCACTATATATGTTGTATTGGGTGTATGTTATGGAATAACATAGTTTTAATTAAAAAATATATGTCACTTAATCATTAGGGTTAGTTTTTTTCTTGGGAAAAAAAGAAATAGTGAACCCGTTTGTTTGTTAAAATTTTTTTTAAAAAATAGTGAAAAGGAAAATTGTATTATTAAATTCTCTTGCAATAGAAATACATGTATGTAGTTCCTGGCATTAACATTTTATTTTTTTTAAAAAATAATCATTTTGAGAGAAGGTTAAGATTTATTTAATTTTTTTTCTAAAATCACCAATTTTTTCAAAAGTCAGTTACAACAACACGCATGACTTTTCAACACTTTACACATTAAAATAATTAAAAAAAATAAAAGGAAAATTTTGTTATTTAATTCTCTTGCAATAGTAATACATTCATGTAGATGTACGTAGTTCCTGGCAATTATATTTTATTTCGTAAAAATCATTCTAACAGAGGGTTAAGATTCATTTTTGTCTAAAATCACAATATTTTTCAAAAGTCAGTGACATCAAAACGCATGACTTTTCTACACTTTATAGAACCATTCCTCTTGATAAATTAAAAATTAGGCATTTTAACATCATAGACATCCTCCTTTTTCAATAAAAATGGAACTGGGAAATGTTCATATCTGGTGATTGGTCATCTACAAAATTACTTTGTAAAAAATCACCGATTCTTCACATAAGAAATCTGAGGTTGATACTAAAAGGATGCTGGAGTTCCTCATTGACATCTATTGACGTCTATGTAGTCGTTGGAGACCAGATCTTCCAGGGCAATATTTTCGCTCCTTTATTAGCAGAATTATTCAAAACTTCTTCCCGAGAAGAAGTAAATACTTGCTGTGGTATTCAACTCCAAATGTAGATATGTAGACGGCGTTTTATCAATTAACAATAGTTACTTTCATTCAATGTCCACTCGATATACTAGTATCCCAGTGAACTCGAAATAAAAACACCACAAAGTCTGTCACATCTGTTTCATACTTGGATGTTTTACTGACTACAGACGATGAGGGCCAACTAAACTGAGATAACGTCAGCTTTTCCATTGTCATTTCCTTATTTATGTAGTAATATTTCACTATATTAAACCTGCCTGTGTATATGGTCCTCAACTTATTCGATACTCAAGATCATGCTCTGAGAACGATCAATTTTTAAACAGAGGCATCTACAGAAAATAAGTTGCTGTTGCAGGGATTTCAACAACCTCGTTTAAAGTCAGCATTTCTTAAATTCTATGGTCGCTATAACAAACTTGTTAGGAAATACATCCTATCTATCTGGTCGTATTTTGACTTACTTAAGGCGCAGGGACAGGGGATGCTTACTCCTCCTTGGCACCTGATCCATCTCTGGAATTTTTAGGGGTCGGCCGTGTTTTACGTCCTGATCTTAGATTTGCATTGTTTGTAGTTCTTTTTAAGATTGATCACTGTTCGTTATCTTCACCTATTTCATTAAATCTATATATGCGATATGTAATCAATGATGAATGTCCCCTCCTGCAATTTCAGATTTGCGGTACATCATTGTTTAAATTAGTTATTGTATAAAATTTTTCACAGAACCCGAAGGACTTCGTATGAAAGAATATTCATTAAAGCTTTTTCCACTTACGGTGGATTTAACTTCCATTTTTTATAGAGATTGCTTTTTTTGCGGATAATCATGTCAAAATGCAACTTATGTCGACATGCAAAATAGTTCCGTTAAATTCAACATAAAATTGTATAACAAAAATACCTTAAAATGAGTGAATTGTGCACAAATCTGACATTTTTTTTTTTTTGCAATTTGCATAGTGATTTTTTTTTCTAAATACAAGATAATTATGCTAACATGTAGCTTATTAAAGTCGATATGTAATATTTATTTTAACTTTCAACTTAAGATTTTCGACATGTAATTGAATTTTATTGACATGCACATGAAATATAACGACATGCATTTTAACGATGATGACACGGAACTTAATTTTGTTGACATGCAACATAATTTTGTAAACATTCCAATATTTATTTCAGTTTCACACCACTTTTCATCCAGAAATAAAACTATGAAAACGTTAACTCGTTATAAAGAAATAATAATGACGTTATAACGAGTTTGTATCGTGTTAGGACTAATAAGTTATCTCGTTAAATAACGAGTTAGTTATTTCATTTTAACCAGTTAGTTATCGCGTTATAACGAGTTTATTAACTCTTTATTACGAGATTATAAATAATCTTAAAAGTTGATACTAAGAATGCCAGTACTGGAACTAAACAGAGTCGAGTCGATTTTTTGTAGTGTGTGTAATTGCATTTGATTAATTCTTTATTGAAAAGGCTGTAGAAAAATATTTGAATTTGATTTAACACAGTTGATAATGTAATGCAACAATGTATTAATGTATTTATCTAGGAGTAGCTTTACTTATCAAAATGTTATTATTGATGGCAAGACAGAAAATAGATTTAAAACCACTGTCTATTGATTGCTATATTCCTTGTTTTAATCTTCTGGAAATAACGAGATCGCTATTTCGGTATAATGAAATAGCTATAACTCGTTATAATGAGATAACTATAACTAAAGTTCGCAATAACGAGATACTACCTCATTAAAACGAGACACTATCGAAATAGTTATATCAAGTTAGATAACTCGCTTTAATGAATTAAATATTTTTTACCTTGTCAGAAATGAGCCTGGCTCATACTTGTTAACATGATCAGTAGAAAATTAACTTGCAAAGAGAAGAGTATTCAACAATACATACATTCAGAGGAATATGTCGTGCTTTTATTTATATAAAAAAAACAATAAAAGCAAAATGTATCAGTTAATATTATCACTTATATTAAAGGAATGCTGAGTGAGAGGTTCATCCTTGACATGATCAAATACTAGCAAAATACTAGTCTCTCTCTCTCTCTCTCTCTATATATATATATATAACTTTGAAACACTCTTTGAAATATTTCAACTGTGTCCGTGTTACAGGCCTTCATCAGTCGTGTTTATTCAAATGCATAGCAATATATATATATATATATATATATATATATATATATATATATATATATATATATATATATATATATATATATATATATATATATATATATATATATATATATATATTAAGTCGAGTAAAAAAAACCCACCTAAATACATGTATATCAAATATTTTTGACTGGTTAAGTCATTAATCACTTAAGTGTCATGTGATTAATAGGGTTGTTAGATTTTTAAATCCATCCTCGTTCATCCCCGATCTCAAGCCTCGCCATGAGAAGCATGTATCACCTGGCAATAATTGTCCACTTCTTATCCTGTGTCAGGTAAATCTTATCTTTCATAACAGATTTAAAAAAAATATGCTAAATTGATTTACCCTTGTTTAGATGTGGAAGAATTACATGTACGTGTAACAGGAAGTGTGTAAAAATCCACACTGCATATGTTGTGCTTTCATGTGAAAGTTTAGATATTTATCAATATGTCAATGGTCTACATATTTATTTGCCAACAATTTGTCAAGTAATCATGGGAGTGAATTATTGAGAGTTATATCTTCATAATGAGATTGTGGGGGCAAATCTAAGATAAAGTCCACTGGGAGTGAAAAAATTGTTGGCATTTTTGAAAACAGATTTGTGACTTTTTCATAAGACTGCCTACCTAGTTTTGTGCACCTCAATCGTTTAAACAATATTTGTTTGCGTACAAATTTAAAAAAAAAAAAGAAATACTTTTTATTTCAGTAGCTTCATTAATGGTGAAGTTCTAATTAACGAGATGGAAATGAGACAAGGAAAACGAGGTAATATTATTCAAGAGGTAATTTTAAAACGAACTGATTATGTACATTTATGATAAAACAGTATAAAACTGTATATAGTTAAAATATATTTAATTTTAAAATACTTCGAATAAACTTCAAACTCCTTTTGAATATTTGAATACTGCTTTTTGGTACCTTTTAAACGTGAGAAAATCAAATAGAGATAATTAAGAGGTATACATATTTTATTTCATTTGTCACGTGCAGATACAGTATGATTCCAGCCAAAATGTCTTAGAATTGTGGCATAAAATATCTAAAATGAAGTTATGTGTACTGAATGGTTGTTGGTTGTATCTTGTTTGTTTTTTTTTTTGTTTTTTTTTTTTTTGTTTTGTTTTTAAAAAGATCTTTACTTGTTAATTTTGATCCGTCATAAATTAATTTTCTATCTTTATTATGAACATATGAAAGGTCACTAAATCTGTTATTTGCTAATGATAGATTGTCATGGGATCTCGACTTTAATCGTATCACGTTCGTATTTCTTTCTTAGTATATGATAGGTTTGACAAAATATAGCGAGCTTTGCTCCTATTTTGCTTCTCTTATTAAATACTATAAACTCGATGATGGAAATGTTAAGCATAGTTATTCACTGTAAACTATTTTCAAGTGCTCACATTATTAATCACTATACACCGTGTTCATCACTGTACTCATTGTGTTAAACACATCGTATCCGTCCTGTCAGACCTTACACATTCTCTCTGAAAATAGTAGTATTATTACATTAGTTGCGACTGACTGAATAGGAAAGTAATACTCAATTTTTGTTTCCAACTTCTATAGTAGATATATGAATCCTTGACTTTTGATACTAATTTAAAGCTTTTATAAAGTTTTAATAAAGAGCATTTGAATTATTTTTATCAGTTTTATAAGTAGATCAGAGTACTTAGAATTTAAAAGCCATTATTTAAACACTAAATTGTCTATGAATTTTCCCTTTATCCGATTATAACAATAAGCACACGCGGTACGGCGGGTATGACCGGTTGACAGGGGATGCTTACTCTTCCATGGCACCTGATCCCACCTCTGATGTTTTTTAGAGGTCCGTGTTTGCTCTGCTCCCAATTTGTATTGTTTCAGTGGACTTTTTAGCTTGATTACTGTTTGTTATCTCCATATTTCATTGTAAAAGCCAGATTCGATTATGGTAGATTTTGCTCATAGGCATTTTTCAATACAAGATGATTTACTTTGAAATCATCCTCACAATGTCAAGGTTTTGTGATTTCGGAACTCCACACAAACCCTTGACATAAGTCGCTAATTAAAAGATATGATCTGGAGTTGGGTCATTTGAAAACGACGGATTTGAAAAATATATTCTCATTGGTTAGTTTATAATTACCCACTACGTCATGTGTAACCACAAACCCAACTTTTAAATAGCGACTTAAGTCAAGGGTTTGTGTGGAGTTCCGAAATCACAAAACCTTGACATTGTGAGGATGCTTTGAAATCGTCGTCATTGCCGTCTCTAAAGTTTCCCTTTAATGAATGCAAAAAGTCAAGATAACGAACAGTGATCAATCCTATAAATTCCTTAATTTCCTTAAATTCAAGAATACGAATCGTGAACAATACAAAATCACGGACCTCTGGAAACACCAGAGGTGGGATTGGATGCCTAGGAGGAGTAAACATCCCCTGTCGACCGCTCACACCCGCTGTGAAACCTTTGTACTGATATTGATTAGGCAAAATACTTTCAAAATTAGCAGCATTATTTATCAGAGTAGCAGAAAGATAAAAAGTATTGGATATTTTTTTCCGAATGAAATATTTTTAAAAATTCATGATGCAATGAAATATTTGGAGATAACGAACAGTATTCAAGCTCAAAAGTCCATTATACAATAAAAAATAGGAGCAGAGCAAACACGGACCTCCAAACATCAGAGGTGGGATCAGGTGCCATGGAGGAGTGAGCATCCCCTGCCGACCGGTCACACCCGCCGTGTGCTCCATGTCATGATCGGGAAATAACGGAAAAATCCGTCGACAATTCAGTGTGTAAATAATGGCCTAACAATTAGTATGAAAAACGTCAGTCAGCATTTGACTCAATGATAAATTGTATTAATATTTGCTGACAAGGTCATTGTATCGACCATAGAACTTACGAAATGATGACTTTAAACGAGACAGCTGATATTCTTGTTTCATCAACTTATTTGTCAATAATTTACCTCGTTTTAGAAATTGTACATACGTAGAGCATGCTCTTGCGTATCGAATCAACTGAGAGATATATACCCCGTATGCAGGTGATGAAGGTATATTGCTGCATAAGTAAGGGAAGTTGACGATTGAAAAGTTAAAGTCATCACGTTTATCATAAAGCTTTGTTGTTAGATTACCATTAACGTCTTTTTCAAGTAATTCATTTTTACTTAAGAAGTGTATTTTAAAAATAACACCCCCCCCCCAAAAAAAAAAATTCTTTCATATCCTATTCCTGTGGTTCAAATTTAATTAAATGTGCATGTAACATTGCCTCAATGATAGCCAGAAAGTTACTGGCTCCCAAGAAAGTTACCAGAGTGTTTTTAGATCTAGTACCCCAAATAAGATAACTAAAAAGCATTCAAGCATTTTATTTTGATGATTTGTTAATTGCGGATAATAGTCGTAACATCAATGACATGGCGACTAGATGCTTGTGAAATTTATATACATTTTGATAGGAAATTTTCTTTACATGCACTTATATGATTAAAGTCACAATTAAGTATAAGATGGCAATGCATGGAGAGTTTATTTTTGACAATATCTATGTAGTCTTTGGGAACAATCTGTTTGAATCGCGATGGGAACTCATTGTGCCCCATTATCGGTCGACCTGTTTTTAAACTCATGAACCAGAATTTATACAAAACTTCTACATGGAAAGAAGATTTTTGCCGTGGCCTTGAGTTCGAAATTTAAATATATCGACCACGTTTATCAATTAACAATAAATATTTTCATTCATATTTCGATTCGATATATCCCATTGATCTCAGAAAAAACGACACCACAGAGAATACCACATCTGTTTCATATTTGGATGTTTTTCTGACCAAACACGTTAATGGCCTACTAACAACTTTACTATATAACAAACAGAACATCAGCTTTTCCATCGTCAACTTCCCTTATTTCCCTTATATTTGTAGTAACATTATCACCTGCACATGGTGTTATATCTCCCAACTGATGCAGTACGCAAGAGCATACTCTGAGTATAATCAATTTTGAAACCGGGGCAGGCTACTAACAAATAGACAACTTGATGTAAAGGGCTTTCAATAACCTTGTTTAAACTCAAAATATTGCATATTCTACGGTCAATATAATAACATCGTTTGCAAATACATGTACAATCTATCGTTGGGTTGTATTTGAATGAATGGTTCATGCCAATTGTTAGACTTTTATTTTAATGCTAATTATGACTACGAATTACTCCATTTACCTCATCAGTACAGATGGGTTAAGGCGGGTTTGACCGTCGCTAGGGGATTGCGTACTCCTCTTGAGTACCTGATCCCATCTTCAGTATTTCTAGGGTTCTGTGTATTTTTTGTACTGAATACGATTTGTATTGTGTAAAGGACTGTTCGTTACATGTATCTTCAACTTTTTATTAAAAGAAGAAGGGTGTTTTATAAGTTTTTAAAACAAATTCAATTTCATTTTAGGGAATATTACAATCTTGTACACGATACGTAACAAATTGGCAGATCCCAAGTTTGAATATGAACAGAATGTGACGTCAAAGGCTGGTCAACCATTCATCAGGTTCATGGAGCAGGCGGCTGATGACGACAAAAACTTTCAGTGAGTAGTTTTTTTTAGATTAATAATTTTAAGAGAAATATATCATTACAACTTATTTATCAATGAAGAATACAACTAAAAATACTAAAACAACAAAAATATTGACATTTAAATTCAAACGTTGTTTATCTAACCTATAGTTGTGAAGCGATCACATTAAAGAGTACAAACATCTCGAAGATTTAAACATTTTTTTTCACAATGTAAAATAATACCAATAAGACTTAGAAAATAACAAAAGAAGATCATTATGAACTCAAATAGTTTTCAATTTTCTCCAGGTTTTCTTCTAAATACTATGCTAAACTTGGGTACTTCATTGAAATATTAGGAAAGGACAGAGCAGGTGTCTTCGGATTGGCTTACTGGCAATTCATAAAAGCGCCATGTACAGTTTTGCCCGTGGGTACGTTCGAGCTAATTCCCGTATTTGTTTATGAACTGTAACTTAATTAACAGAAAAACTAACAAGACAGTATACTCTTCAATATACTCTATAAGTTCAACAATTTTGATTTTAAGAGTGCTCATATATTTATTTGATTTAAAATACCTGTAAATCATATAAAAGCATATTAAGGGACCCCAGGAGTCCCATACTTAAGGTCGGAATTAACAGTTTGATTATACATAAAAATTGACAATTAAACAAGTATAGTAAATATTCTTAGTAAATCTAGTCACTTTCTTTTGTATTTTTGTTGGGCAAATATTCAATGATAGGTGGTGCCAAATCCACTGATTTTAAGCAATTATATAAAACCATCATATATCTGAATGAAGAACAAGATGACCTTAATTTTTTTCAAAGATCCACAACTTAACATTAAAACGAAAATATAATCATTATTATTCAAAAGTGATTGGAAGGTTCATGTTATAAATAATGAGATCAGAATTTCAGTTCTTACTGGGAGGATACCTTGTATAGGCATAAGCTATTGTGACGAAATGGACTGGCTGTTAATCGTTCTATAATAATTCGTAGATACATGAATTTAACACAGAGACTTTATCAATTTAGAACAGATGACTCATTCCTCAAGAAAATATATTTTTTCCAAGAATTTGTTAGTGAAGTAATGTTACTTTAACAGGTTTCTTTAAAAAAAAAAATTAAGGTACCTTACCAGGCATTTGTGCAAGATACCAGAGGATAAACCTATTGGAAATCACAAACATTGCTAATATCACGATTTTTTCGTGCCTGTATCTACTTTGACACTTTGAAAACAGTTTAAAAAGTAACATGATAGTGATAATCATGATTAATTTGTTGTATATTACAAAGAGATACAAAACAAATATTCAAGTGAAGGGCAACGTGTCGTCAGATCCTAAGGCAAAGCTTTATAGTTATAGTTTCTGTCCGAAATTTTGCTTGTTTTTGACAACAGAAGACGACAATTTTGCTTAAAGGAATACAGTCCTGCATTTTGCGTTTGTTTGACGATGTGTTTTAAGTTATAAAATGATATTCCCGAAAAAGAAATCCAAATTTGGACGTACATCTGATAACAATTATTAAGTGACACTTGATGAACGACTCAAATTCCTTTTGCATGAAATTTTTTTATATTCTATTGATACTGGCTTTTTTCTGTAGTTGATGCCTGTGCAATGTGTTGATTTTAATAGACATGTAGTCAGAGCTATCAAAGTCCTCAGTCTGCATTAAACTATACTTTTTTATGCATTGGGTTGGAGACTTCTAATGATAACCATCGCTTTACTGAAATCATTCATTTAAAATTGCCTTTAGAAATGGAAAGGACATGAGAATTCAAAACATTCTTTAGGACATTTTTCATATTCAAATAATGAATGCAAATTGTCTATTTCGGCAGGTGTGAGCAGCTACATTCCAAAGGACGGTGACCATCTAATCTTCGATTATGTTCTACAAGGCAACTGCAGTACCTGTAAACCACCGATCTTGTAATTCAAATGAATCACAAAGGAAACAAAGCAAAAAGATTTCAATAAACTGTATTGCAATCAATTCATTCAATTCTTGTATCTTTTCTTTATATGTTACATGGGTAGAGGGTTAAATTTGTAACTACACATTGGTATTTTAAACATTTCAATGCATTGTAAAGAAAAGGCGCTATAGTTAGTATCTTTCATTTTATATTTTAAATCTAACTTTTTAAAGAAACTATGAAATAAATAAATCCCTTAAATGTTGAAAGTACAAAGTAATACACACTTTATGTTAATTTAGACTTGAACTTCGCAAAATTCTGTAAAATAATTTCAAGTGATGTTTATCCGAGTATTCCAATCATTGTCTTCGATAAATGCATAGGGGTGTATTTATTTACTGGTAAATTTCGCTTTTATGAATTACTCAATTTTATTGAAGTCATATTTAAGTACTATTCTCAAACATCTTGTATGTGTATCAAACAAGACAGTCTTCTGTATTTTCCTTTGCTTTCTGTGTGACCATATACAGAACTGAACTAAATTGTTTAAGCAATTGCCCTATAAAGTCACATCATTCTATGTAGAACATCACTCTACAGCTATGCTAAGATACATTAGTATTTTCAAATATCAATTTTGCCCTTACGATTGCACTTTATATATTTTTTCTTATTTTATTATGGTCAAAATTTAATTGTAACGTTAAATTCACAGTAACATATATCTTGCAGAGATAATTTACTGTTTGTTCTAGAATGCAATCACTAAATGGCGATTTTGCTTGCTGAATTCAGAATTCCAACATTTCGTCTGTGATTTTAAAAAGAGGGAATGGAGAGAGATCACCGTTCTTTTATAAGTACTAGATTTGCTCTTAATGAACCATGAAAGAAAGAGATATCTCTTGAATCCAATTCAAAACGTCTTATCTGTGAAATTTACTGAATCTGGTTCTAGGTGATTCTGTGTCTCTCGTAAAACCAACTCTCATGTGGATATTAGAAGTGCTTCCAAGTCATTTTATACAGAAACATATTATTTCAACCTGAAACTCGTCTTCGATTCTCCTCCAAAAAGTTATTAATTACATTCTTCAAGAATACTTTATTTGATTTCCATGAATTGATAGTGGACTTTTTCTACTGGCGAAGCCTATGCTTAACATTAGATTTTAATAGACTTTCTACGAATAAACATACAACAAAAATTTCTTTGTGTGTATATTTTTGATTTTATATAAATTTCAGCTCAGCACATTTCGACTTGTAAGCTGTCTGTAATATTACGCTGTCTGGGAGATAAACAGCAGAAGCGGGTCAGAATTTGATTTTATGTCGAGATACAACACACTGTTTTAATGCTCCATTTATCACTGAGGCTTAGACAAACTCTGTGTTCGTTTATCGCACCTGCTGCTCGTACTTCTTATTTTTATTGAGACTTCTTTTATAATTTCTGTTTTACGATTACGTCTTGTCTTTTTTAAAGGATTGCAGAATTTATAAACTGACGAAGACCTATACTAATTCCAAGATGAAGATCTTATTTGAATTCGAATACTTACAAAAATAGGTGCATAAAGAATGTTTCAACAAAAACATTATTATGCAGAGAAATTATATGTTCGAATTATTAACATATGTTTTACCACCCAAAATATTCCAAATATTATCCGTTATGTTCAATTTCAAACTTCACTAATAAACGTTCAACTAAAATTTCATGTTACAGAAAATGGCATAAGCATTTCTTTGTTTTGTTTTTTAAAGAAAGATTGGGGACTTGATTAATGTATAATTTCTTATTTAACTCTTTTGCTTTAAAACTAAATATAAGATGAAGTTTAGGAAAGTCAATGAATATCTTAACGTTCAATCTTGAAAAAAAATGTTTAAAGACCTTAAAGAAATTCGCAGGTGGTCTAATTTAAAAAATGTATAGAATCAGCCAGACATTTGCTCGCTTAAAATCTAGCTCACATTGCCAGTTTTTATTCTTCGTCCTAAAGCTTCTAATCTACACGTGTTATGTAGTGCTACGTCACGTTTAAAAAGGTTGAAGTTGAATTTGCCGTCGGGGCTTAGATTCCAACTGAACAGTGGCACTACTGTAGCTCGCTTCTGGGAACCTCAGAGGCTTGAGAGTCGGTAGTCACTGGTCACAAAAAAGGCCAAAGTGACCTAAAACGGACCAAAGTACAAGTACACAGGGAACAGATCCCTGAAAGTAAAGGAAATTAAACAGAATGCTGGTGTAACCAACTTCTTTGAAACAGCCGCCATTTTGAGAATTTTAAAGATTATTTGACTTGGATTAAGTTCCATTGAAATGAGGAAACCTTTACGCTCAATTTGCTCAAATATGTGGACAAGTGTTCAATTCGGGTATTCATTATCAAGGACCAATATGAAGTTCTTTATTCTTTCCATTTTATTAATTCCAGGATGTTTGTGTGCCAACGTTGCATTTGTTTTAGGTAAGTTTTTCCCATGATACTGCGTGTCGCCACGTCACACTCTATTCGGATTTCAAGGGACTGAGTTCTGCATTTACAGGTCACTTCATTTAAAGCAATAAAACTGTCTGTAAATAAATAAAATACCTAATTTTCCAGTCTAATTTAATTAATTTTTGTGGAAAACCGTGCAATAATTTCCAACAAATGATAGAGAAGAAGCATTAAATATCTAGTAATTATAGACAACATGGATTTCTCCAACCTTGGATGATTGTGAAATTTTTTTCTTTGTATTTCTTCTTTCTTTACAAATGTAGGTTATTGTTTTAAAAGAAATTGGATAAAATGTATAAAATAAGCGACAAAGCGTAAGTCGTATTAAATTAAATTTAAACAGAAATCGCAGTTTCACTGTGTCAGCGGTTCTCCGTTCTCATGCTGGCAGCCAAGAGAAATTAGACACGTAGGCATGTGCAGGGAAAAGTATTAAAATGGTTTCAAAGAACATTTATCAAAGTGTATTGACATTTAGACGTCGGATGTTAATTATCAGATTGCACTAAAGGAGTAAAATTTTCGAAAACCGTGATGCTTTTATTAGTTGTCCCTTTGGAACTTAAGTTCTTCACTTCTTCAACAGGATGAAGGAGTAGATTATGTTTCACCGGTTTTTGTTCGTTTGCCTGTCTGATTTTGCAATGAAGCAAGTTTATAAAGGCTCATTAATGATCGCCCTGTAGGCTAAGAAAATTAAACTGTTTTCCCATTGTCATTAGCATTTTAAAGACACATTGTTAATGTTCTGTCTTTCTGACATACTTTCTATTTATCAATAAAAATATGCATTATGACTACTTTGGAAAATAATGTTTTAAATTTTTAAGTTTTGGTTTAAAGCTTTGGTTTCGAATATAATGTCTCAAATGAAACCATATAACGAAAAGAAATTATAAGGCATTCAATTTTATATATATTCGAAAGTAGGTTTACATCACATGGATGTGATATATGTGATTATACATATATATATATATGACCTAATTTTACGCCGTATAACAGGGTCAAATAATCAAAGAACTGAAAGTACATAATAGCAACTTTATCCTTTCAACTCCAGCTGACTTAAACACGGTCCGTAATATTGAATATATTGACAAATGAATATGGATGATATTTATTAAAAACAACTTGCTTTAAGAAAATTTTCTTTAATTTCGACACATATATTAAAATACCACCCATTACAAGAGTACATTGATAAACAAAGTTTCATGAATAGTATCGAAAAATCTCGAAAGTCTACACGTGACTTCATCGACATGATTTTATATTATGAGGATTCTATAATGTTCCAGATAGAGTTGACTTTCAAAAATAAACTTTTGTTCATTTTTCTAATGAGTTCAGAGGTTTCAAATATTGGAATCATCAAATTCGACATAACTTTTGCCTAGGAATATAAAAATGCATTTTTGTGCCTTTTTTATCTTTTAAATAACATTCAATCTTCAAGCCACATCACTTTAAAAGTTCACTTAAGCGAAATTTTGCATCCTTTGAGTGAAATTGAATAAGAACTGAAAACTTAAGATTTAAACATAAGAACTCTACAAAGGTTGACCCTAGCGAAATAATGATATTTCTGTTCTGAAATGTAATTATTTCACATACACGTTTTGGTCTGAAAATAAGTTGCTTTTTCATACTATAAATTTGAGAATAGATATTATTACAACATTTCTTATACAGAGAAATTCAAACTTTAATCTGTTTAGATTGTAAAACGAGCCGAGTCTAATAAACATGAAATAAGATTGACAAAAAAGGGTAATCATATTAGCATTTATCATTATATGAGCAGAAAATATAATTTTTCGTAAGATTCGTACAATTCATAAGAAGTTACATTGAGAGCACAGTTTTCATTCTATATGCATATATTTCAATCGGACAAAAACATAAAATCATGCAATTCAGGAACAACTCTTGAAACAGTTACTGACACAATTCTACAAGAAGTTTTAAAAACTGAGGTCTTTGGTCTCCATATATATTTCATATAGTACCCCCCAAAATAGATGTAAAACATATAGTATGTTCTTTTATTTAAAAATTCGATTAAGAAGTGTGAAAATAACGCACACCGATCAAGCTCAAAAATTCAATTACACATTACAAATTGAGAGCATAACAAACATGATCCCCTGGAGACGTCAGAGGTAGGATCAGATGCCAAGGAGGAGTAAGCATTCTCTGTCGACCGGTCACATCCGTCGTGAGCCCTTTGATTTGATCGGATAAATGGAGTTATCCGTAGATAAATCGTTTTTAATATGAAAGCATAATTTGTCCTAACAACGCCAATCAACATTTGACTAAACGACAGCTTGTATTTACAAACAAGGTAATTGTATCCATCACATTATTTGCAAAATGTTGACATGTAGGTTGTTGATACCTTATAACATCAACTTATTTGTCAGTAGCTTGTTTTGGTTAGAATAGATCGTACACAAAATATATTATTGTGTACCGAATCAACCATAATTACCATATGCAGGTGATAATTTATTGCTACATACCGGTAATAAAATAAATTGATGATGGAAAAGTTGAAGTCATCTCGTTATTCATTAATGTTCATTAAATATCTCACCGATCGCTGTATCCTACTAGTAGGGAACTTGCTTCGTGATCGGAAGGTCTAGGTTCGATTCTCGTTAGCAGCACCGCTTCAAACTTAAGACGTTTACATAGATAATGACTGTTCCTTTGCCAACTGTCTGGCATTAGAAGCGAAAATCACAGGTCCTTCGGAGGAGACCTTAAAATCAAATTCCCTGTCATGGTAGGCGTTGGCACAAAAAAGATCCCTCACGGCTAGAACAGTCAGCGCCATACATAGGTCAAAATTTGTAGCACTTCACCTTTAGCAGATGAAGTCTCTACAAAAGTGACCGTTCACGGTAGCTCAGTCGGTAGAGCACTCGCTCCGTGATCGGGAGGTTGTGAGTTCGAATTTCTTACTCGACTGACCTAAGTCGATAAAAAATGGGTAGCAACTGTTCCTTCGCCATACGCTCGGCACTTTGAAGTGAAAGTTGCGGGTCCTTCGAATGAGACCTTCAAAACCGAGGCCTCTTGTCACGACAGGCGTTGGCACGATAATGATCCCTCACTGCTCAATGGCCCTGAGTGCCGAGTAAAGGACGTCTCTATATGGATGAAAAATTCTCGAATGGGACGTTACACAACATACAACCAACTATTTAATTAGTCCATAAATGTTTCTCTCTAGGGAAATATCTAAATATGAAAAACATGTACTTGTAGATCAGTCAGATTCTGTGGTGTCTTTAATTTCGAGTTTAGTGGGATATACGGAATAAACGTAGGAAAGAAAAGAAAATTCTTACTGATAAAGCATTGTCGATATATCTTATATTGCTAACTGAGGCCACGGCAAGATACTTCTTTGTTTCATGTGAGGATTTTGAATTTGAAAGAATACAAAAACAACTAGGCTAATCAAAGCGAACAATAAGTATCGAGGAAAATTCAGACAGATTGTTTGAAGACATAGTCTCTAATTGCAAAGACTACATAGATATTGTTCATCTTTTTACAGAGTAATTGTGTGTAGCATTAGAATAATTTTACTAAAGTTATTTCGTAGAAGGCCAATCAAGTGCAGACCAGGTTATGTCTTGACTTGCATTAATATCTGCGCTTAAAACGGGTTTATTTTAAAGATATGGTCTATGGTCTGTTTGTTTTCGTTCATCTACTCAATAGAAAACATACTTTGCAAACAACTCTATTTTACTTCTTTTAGTCAAAGTGTGGTGACCTAAGATCAATAAAATATTTTCAAACTCAGTTCAAATGCAAAAAGAATTAAGATTAGTTATAATGCCTCAGGATGACCTAGACAACTCTAGCTATTAGAAACACTTCGAGGGCATAGACCGAGTTCTGTTCAGAAAAATGAATTCAAGTATCAATTGCATTATTACTATAGGATTCATATGACACGAAAGCTTTCTCGTTCTACACCTATTTATCGAAGTCTTTTAAAATTATAAATATGCTAATTCCTCCTTATTCCATCACTGGCGTTTACAAGGATCCATGTTTTTGTCCTGTTCACGATCCATTTTATTGATAGGATTAATGAAATTGATCACTTTTCGTTACCTTCACCAATTTCAGTGTTTTCTCTTGTATAATACTATTTAAGCAATACGTATCTATTACTGTATAGAGACACAAATCCACGGTTTTATTGTTACATCATAAACATAGTTTCTCAAAGACGCCATAAACGGTTGACACGTTCAAGGGATTGAAAAAATAAAAACCTGTTATGGGATTCCGATGTTTACAGCAAATATTACATGTAGTTATTTTGTCACAAATACAAATATAAGCAATGAGGTTTCATTTTTAATCATCTATCAGGATATAGACACAATTTGGTCACATGATCAAATTCCATAGAGTACTTTAAGCATTATGATAGCTTTGATCACGTAACCAATCCATATCTATATCACAAAAGATGTTTAAAAAGTGATACCTTATTAATTATATCTACATTTGCGGTCGTATCATAATATATAATTTTGTTGTTAAAATCTTTAACCCGCTAAATTTATTTTTTGTTTAAATCGGTGGTATAACTTAAACCTTTGAATCCGGGTACCCGGGGTAGGTCCTTTATGACGCCATGAAGAAATTACGTCGACCGTTTATGCACTTCAACCTTCAACGGATTTGATCATATGATGCAATTCAAAGTCTGTATCACTTTTGAGTTTGAAGTATTCTATCACACCAAAATAAACCCAGACAGTGTAATTTGTCGATATGCAAATTTGTCCTGGCTTCAGAACTTAAAAGTTGTATATTTCTTGAGACTTCTATTTGTGAAAGTTCTTGTTATTTAACACCAACAACGTTCACAGCATTAGACTGATTGATTGTTTGTAGTTTTACTTCCCTTCCAAGATTATTTTACTCATATGGGTGTCGGTGAATACCGATGAAGTATTTCAAATTAAAACCTTTACTCCGCACTCAGGGCTATATGACAATATAATGATATTGCGATATAATAACCTTATCAGCAAATACAATCTATCATGAAGTCAAATGCTGAGTGACGTTCTTCTTATTAATTGTCCATTATTTACACACTGAATTCTCTACGGACTTTTCCGTTATTTCCCGATTTTGACAAGGAGCATACGGCGGGCTTGACCGATCGGCAGGGGATGCTCACTCCTCCATGGCACCTGATACCACTTCTGATGTTTTATAGGTCTGTGTTTGCTCTGCTCCTACTTTGTATTGATTGAATCAACTTTAGAGCTGGAATACTGTTCGTTATCTCCTTATATTTTACGCATTGAGCAGTGGGGGATCTTTATAGTGCAAAGGACTGTCGTGACATTAATAAATTCAATAAATTTTCATATTTCCAAGACCCACTGGACCAAATTTAGCGGAAGTTGGCAAAAACATCATGGGTAAAGGGGATTCAAAATTGTTCAATGAAGGGCTAAGCCCCCTTCCAAGTATCATAATGGAGAGAAGGCTAAATTAGGGTGCAGTCATTGAAAAATCATCTTTTCAAGAACTACCGTACTAAAAAAAAAATTGTAGACCTTCTGTACATAGATTTATGTTTATTCAAGAGAGGTACATTAGGGGATCAGTTTTACATGGATAAAAAATTATAAAAATCTTCTCAAGAACCACTGAGCCAGAAAAAATAAAACTTATGTTAAAGTTTCCTATTACAAATTGTTCGTATCATGGCCCCAGAGGGAAGGATGGGTTCAATATAGAGTATCAAAGTTTAACATGGAAATATACGGGAAAACATTTTGATTTTTTCTGATAAGTGTTTTATTCACAAGTTTTATTGAAGCATCCTCAAATAGTGAATATTCAGATTTGTGTGAGTCAATGCTTATGGTCTTGAATGGGGCCATAATTAAATGAAAAATTTTGTACTGGAATATACAACTAACAATCTCTTAAAATGTTTTCGAGATCCACAATAGAGTGATTAATTTAAAAGTAATCCAAAGTTGTTGATATTGGTTTTTTTTAATAAAATTATATACCGTATTTTACTAGAAAAAGACATTAATGGTAACCTAATAACAAGACTTTATGATAAACTTGATAACTTCAATTTTTCTATCATTAACTTCCCTTATTTATGTAGCAAGATACCAATATCACCTGCATATGGAGTTTATGTCTCACATTTCATTTAATATGCAAGAGCATGCTCTACGTACGAACAATTTTAAAACGAGGCAAGTTATTGACAAATAAGTTGAAGAAACAAGGATATCAACAGTCTCATTTAAATCATTTCACAAATTTTATGATTTAATGACCTTATCAGAAATCTATCATAAATTCGAATGTTTACTAACGTTTTCCATATACATTGTTAGGCTATTATTTTCACACTGCATTGTGTACGGATTTTTTCGTTTGCCCGATCATGAGAAGGAGCACACGGTGGGTGTGACCATTGTCAGGGGATGCTTGCTCCTCAATGGCACCTGATCCCATCTTTGATGTTTCTTGTTTGCTCTGCTCCAAAATTTTATTGTTTCAATGCACTTTTGAGCTTGATTACTGTTCATTATCTTCATATTTCACCCTAGATCTACAGTTGGGTTGAAATCTGTATTAAAAATTCTTTTCTGTACCGGCAAGGTCATGTTAGTCAAATAAATTTTGAATCATTTCCATATTGTATGTATTTATATACTCCTTAGAGTAAGAGTGGGGTCACAATATTTGGTCACATTTTTTTCATGGGAATAAAGAGGTGGAAATCGTTTTAAAATCTTCTGAAGAACACCAGGAAATACGATACTTATTGTGAGCGATATAACCTTTGGGCCTTGTGTTCTTTTGAATAATTGTTCATTTGATAGAACAGCGACATTCCCTCACAAATTAGGACAACAATATATAACTGTCCTTTTAATGATTTATTATTTGGGAAAGATCGCAAATTTCTTTGTCGGATTTCGATTTTATGAATATTCTGCTGTAAAGCTTGAATTAGCCATAGGGCCAACACCTGTAAAACTGAGTTTGCTGATTTGTATAACTGTCCAATTAGTTTTTGGAAAAGAAACAAAAAGGGCTTTATCTCGGATTATTTAAAGCTACCAGATAAACAGAGATAAATCAGCATATATACAGGCACTGAAATTTATGCAATGTATTTGATATGTTTACAAAAAATTACAAAATAATGAGTTAAATTCGACATTTCCAAGAGAATTCGAAAAGGTTAACAATCAGTAAAAAAAATGAAATGATCTATTACACCAGTAATACAGTCTACAAGAATGTACATTTAAAACTGCAGCTTGCACCTGCCAAAGTATTATGCCATTGCTAAGGAAAAAATTGAGAAAACTGGATAAGCCACTTAACTAGTCTCTCAAAAGATAAAATTTAAATCAAAGCTTAGATAAAGGTATGTTTGATGATCTGAAAAAGCCAACGAAAAGGTTAAGCCAGTTGGATAGCAATCGTAGCATTCGGCTATAAGGGCTGAGTAAGCCGGTAACCCGATGTGTGTTTTTTATGGAAACACCAACTGGCAAGAGTTCAGTGGCCAGAAAAATATTAATGCCTAGTGGTAGAACATGCTTGTTAGATAGCTGGTCAGAACCAGTGACAGAGCCAAATATAACAACAGGGGCCACCTTTACAATAATGTTTGTTTGGCCTCTCCCGACTCAGGATGAAAAAATTGGGTCGGTAGGTAGGTAAGAAATTTTTTCTAAGAAAATTTCAATTTCAATGCTTAATTTTTTTAAATGTATTGTCCATAATACATAAAAGAAATAATTGCTTCCTGGAGGTCAAAAAAAGTTTTGAGTTGGGCAATGTTTAGCCAGTCGGTCGGGAAAGGACAACCATACAATTTCTTAAAGATGGCCTGCTCATGGGCAATTGATAAGGTTAAGTGTAATTCTTGATTACTCTAGTGTATAAATGGTAAAAAGTATTATCTTACTTTTAATCATCTTAAATATGTTAATAGTTTATATCTGTTTCACAACTAAGGTTTGACATTTTTATGCCCAACCTCAGAATCCCTATATAAACGGGTATGTCTGACACATATGGACACTTGTCTTGGCATACTTTAGTGACGGTAGATTGTTACATTAAACTAAAACTCTTAATTTAATTTTCAGTTGGGAAAAGCTATACAATAAATAAATTGATTATAACAATCCAATGGTTTTTGTAGATGAGATTGATTTGTTGGAAGAAGTTAGAATAGAAGACGCTACTTCGCGAACGAATGGTATGTGTAGTGGGAGGGACGACAATCGGGCATTCCAGATCACGGGGGAGGAGCAACTCACCGTGCCATTTCAGTCTACATTCAAAGGTAAGACCCTTTCTTAAAATATAGTGTGCAATCGCTCCGTCAAACAACTGTTTTGAAAACATGGAATTAGATTAGTTTACCTCGATAAAATAAAATATTCAGTTAGAACATGATGATATATAAAGTATCCAATTTTTTCAATGTTGGATACGTTGAATTCTATCATTCTTTCACTTTTTGATATATTTTTTTTTCAAAACAGTTTCTATTCAAAGAGTGTTAGAAATGTGGTAATAGTGTGTAAACACATATAGCTACTTTGTAAAACTTTGTAAATTGATGCGGCTTACTTTGTAAGTTGTTTGTAGATCCAAAATTGCATCAAATATTGAAAAGGATTGTGTTAGCGAGGTTAAAAAAGAAAGTATGATTATAGGTATTCTTAGATTTGTGTGATTACTAACTCTACTAGAGATCGAAGCTAAAATGAGCATTTTCGCTGACAAATTTTTCAGTTTCATTTGCTAAATTAATTTTCTAATTTGTAAATTAACTGAAACATTTTTTAAGCTTCATTTGATGCATCTTTGAGAATATATTCAATTGGTTATCAAGAATGACCATATCCTGTTCTCTTTATTTGATAGACGCTAAAAAAAAATAAAAATGTAATTGGACCATATTTCTCTTAAACATTTATGCAAAGACTGCACAGAGTCGGGAAAAGGAAATTGTAAATTCTTAATACAGTACTAAACCAGAAATACCACTGAAGCAGAAACAGTGTTCCAGCTAGGATCTGAAAATGGAGGGGTGCAAGAGGAGGGCACTTTTTCGCCACATACCGTTTGTCGCGAGCTTTTGTTACATAGGCATATCTTATTACTTCGCCCTTATAATAATGAACTCCTTCAAATATTTTAAATTTATTTAACCTTATTAATTTGAAAGATATATAAACACACATTAGGCCTAATCTATAGCTAAAGTATATAAATTAACAAATAAAATAGAATTTAAAAAATCCTCTGAGAATAAATATTACTTTTCTTCTTCTTTATTAATCATTTTCTATTCTTATTTCCTATTTTCATATTTAGTACTAGTATTAAACTTACAATTTAAAGCCAATATCTTTTTTGCTTGTTTTATCATATTGGTCATGTTATTGGCAGATACTTACCAGGTAATTAAATTAAGATTTTAAACTTCTGCAATGATATAGAACACATTTAATATGTACATATCTGTAATACCTTCCAGAGTGTCAAAAATCATAATTAAGGAGAAAATAAACGAATATTTATACTTCTTTCTGTGCTATTAAATATTGAATTCCTTCTTATTTTCAGAAAAACGTCAAGAATTTATAAATAAGAAGTGGAGGTCAATGTTAATTCTACTTTCACTTCGTGATTTATTTTTAGAATGCTATAATACAAGACTCTTGTTTTATATTAATTAAAACAGATAGCTTGCACATTCTCAAAGTATTTCAGCTTTTAACCCCTATTCAGACTGCCAAGTGATCAAAGTAATTACCTAATCACCTGTAACTGAAAGTGGGCACCTGTGTAGTGTATAGGTACTGTACCGTAATGCGAGTTTCATTGCGTAATCGCCTATGACAGGAGGTGTGAATTGCTGATTGTCCTTGGGTAATCTGCATTGGAACACACTAATTATTCTAATGAGGGAAAAGGACAGTCAGAATAATACAGGACACTAACAAGGGACACAGGGGCGCTTGTAGGGGGCAGAGGGGCGTACTGATTTGAGGGCGGGGAGCGGCGCCCCTCTATTTCACCTTAGCTGGAACACTGAGAAATATTATTTTTTTATACAACCCTGAGACAGCAATACCAAATCTTTGGATCTTTCGAGTTTTCTTGTCAAAAAAATTCTTTAAAATATTCCTCTAGAAGAGCTGAGGGTACCACTCGACAACAATTTGATGTGGAAAGTCAAATCTTAAGAATGCATTTTTCTTCCTATCAGCTGTCTTGCATGTTTAGGTGAGGGTTTTTTCATGAAAGGTTCTAAAGATTTGCACAGAAATTTATGTCTTCTTCAAAAAATAAGACTACTCAGATTTTAGTTTTCTTAAACAAGGATAATTGCACATGACAGATAAAAATCGCTGGATTCCAGTATACTTTGATGATAGAATTCTCTCTAGGAGCAACCCGATAACAATGTTTTCAAACATTAGCCTTCATCTTTTCTTTAATTAACCCTTAAAGTAAAAAGACATTCTACGAATCATTTTATTTCAGATTAGGACTTCCTTGATTTTCTTTTTCAGATGGACTTCCAGAAGAGTTTTCTTTAATGGCCACCTTTAGGCATAACAACATGACCGCCAAAGATGGTAAATTATCCATACCTCTATTGACTATTTATAACGAAGATGCTCGAGAAGTATTCGGACTCTACGTGGGAGAGGATGCAAAGTTTCTTCTTAGCGATGAAGAGGCAAGGACAACCTTAGATAAAGCCACACTCTTCGAATCATGGAACACCAATGATGGAAAGTAAGAATTCCAACAAAGGATCCTAAAAGAGTGGGATTCTATTTTGTTTTGGTTCATTTCTGACACAGTGTAGTAAGATATCGTTTTTACAGGTACTTTCTATAACCTTAAAGCTTGTTCCAAAAATTGATAAACTTCACTTTCACAGTAAATTCTGGCAAACTATGAATACAGGAAAAATTTTTACCTATATATCTTGCTTCTTAAATAAATTCTACGAATTTTGAAAAAAAAAATGGAAAAAAAGATCGTGGAATTGCAGGAATTCAATGCATGGATACTATGCATTCAAATACTGAGTGCTAAACTTTGGTGTATGGATATGCCATAATGAATTAATTAAACTTAGTACATGTACTTCTTTTAACGGAATTATAAACCTTGAAAACATATTTTTCTACCTTTGCTGTAAGGGAACTTTTATGTCTTGTCAATATATTGTATTTAGGTTTGGTAATGTATGCTAAATAAATCAGTTGCAATAGTATCGAAGTTTTTTTTTAAAAATGGAAATTGAAATACTCTCTTGCTTAAATTCATGACTTTAGAAAGATGAACATTGATAGAATTCATATGAACGCCAACACACATGATATCTTACGAAGAGATAATAAATATCTTAGATAATATTGAATGCAAAGCATATTAATCACTCAGAAACATGCATTTTATCTCCAGTTTATTCTAAAATGAATTATTTTTCTTTCCTATAGCTGGCACAGGATAGGTATTAGTGTTAGCGGAGGAAGTGTGACGCCTTACTTTGACTGTGCTCCAGGAGAAGCCATTTCATTCAAGCGAAGCATGGTTCCAGAGGACGCATTCAGTAGAGAGGGGATCTTGTTCATTGGTCGTGATTTAAATGATTCACCTGAATTTAAGGTAAACTATAATTGTAACTTGAGTTAGAATACCCTTTCTTACTCTTGTAGATGAAAAGATGAAAATTAGTGAGGATAAATGATTCTTTACATTACACTGATAAAAAAGGAACCAAAAATGGAAGGAAAACTGTGAAGATATTTTATGATATAAGACAGTTTTACATATCCATATCACCAAAAATAAAATACATTTATTAATGCACATATATTCAAACCTCTTTAGGGTGCCATCCAAGACTTAATTTACATGCCCTTCCCTGAGGGAGCAAAGGATGTTTGTCGATACTACGCCCCTGAATGCAACCAGGATTTTTTCACTATCAGTACAGGAAAGTCAGACCAAGGGTACGTCGACAAGTCTATGGCTGCTGTGACAGGAGATCTCAGTAAGATGGGAGCAGGTGCTATGGGAGGCGGTGAAGTAGTGATGGTAGATAAGTCTGGCATGGGAGCAGGAGCAGGCGGAGTTGTCATGGTAGACAAGTCAGGAGCTATGGGAGTTCTAGATAAATCACAATCAGGTGGATTCATCGTGGATGCAAAAACCGGAGAAACTGTCGGAAAAATGGGAAGTTCAGTGTTGGTGGGCAAAGAGGGAGCGCCGGTGAGTAAATGAAAAGACAAGAAAAAATATTGGACATGTAGTTCTCATAGACCAGGGTCTTTGACTTCTTTTTAAGCATCTGATTTTACTTAGATGATTAAGATTTGTTAAAATTAAAAATAAATATTTCTACAAAAATGTAATTGAAAAAAAAAAAAAATTAATGTCACATGGTGAGACATAGGTATTGTTCCAGCTAATTTTGAACACGTATACGAATTCTTGGCGATTGCTTAAACAATCCTCAATGAATATTCACAGAAATGATGGTCATTATGTGTTTTGTGCATGCAATATTAAAAATAGCCACCATTGCCATGAAAACGGAAAGTTGGGGGTGACATACACTATTGCTAGTTCTGGGTGACATACACTATTGCTTGCAGTAGTAAAGTTTTTTAAGTATGTCATGTTTTATATCATTGTAGATGCTGACATACGATGCGTCAACTGGAGTGTCCTACGCCTACCGTTATGTAAGAGAGATGATAATGATCTTGTTGAATATGTGTATCATAACAAACTTGCTTTGCATATCAACACTTACTTTAAGATTTAGATGCTAGCAACTTTGAAGATAGATTATGCAAAGTTTGCTAATAATTTCAGGGAGCAGCCGGACCCCCAGGACCCCTTGGTCCCCCAGGACCACCAGGACCAAAGGGTGATACGGTAAGATGTACTGTAGACCACCAAAGATTGTCATTTTGGTATTTATAAGCGAGACATAATTTTCAGAAATTTTGAACTTTGTTCTGTATAATCTTTTCTTATAAAAATAAACAACTGAATTTTCGCAAGCAGGTGGTTTCGCGTAATTACGTGAAAATAAAGTTCTCGAAAATAAAAAGTATTTTAATGTAGCATACCTGTGTTTGTTAATTTCCAATAAAGCTTACAGGGGGATGATAATTCCAAAATATTGTATGTGTACTTATTAAAGCGGGCTTCATATTTTAGCGGCCTTGGCGCGGACAACGATGCGCTAATTCGTGAATACTGCTAAGAATTCATTAATAAATACAATTCACGGTGCGGACAGATGTATTCATGATTACGCAAACAACACCATGCCCAGTGATGCGCTAATTTTTAGATACGTCAATTTATGTACACGTACAGCAAAGCATACGGGTGTGTGCTAATTCCCAATAAAGTAAACAGCTAAGTGGATGTAAATTACCCATAAAGAAATGGACCTTTTAACTGGCTTTATGCTTGTTGACACTATCTTTTTGTTTATATGGAAAAATTAAAATAAAAAAGTAAAATAACTTTGAGATGGTAAACTCAATTAATTTTTATAAAACAAATACGGAATTCTGAATTCTATTTAGATGCCTAAATAGTGATATGCTAGATTGACAATGATTACCCTTTTAATGTTTTATTTGTCTCCTCAGGGCTTTGACGGACGGGACGGTATACCTGGAGCAGGAGGTCTACCAGGACCCCCTGGAAACGTCTTCATAATCGATGTGAGTACTGGGAAATACTGCTGCAACTGATAAAAGTTTAACGGTTACATTTCTGTTTTTTATTAAATTTCTGGAAGTCTGTTATTATCAATAATTTCTTTTTGTGTCTTCAGGCTAATTTTGCATCTAAGACATCCCACCAGGCTCAAGCATTCAGAGAAATCCTTGGACAACACATGGTATGTTGATTTTAACAAAAATAAGATTGGAATAAGACAATCATGAAGACGCCAGATTTAGATGGTTACCCTACATTTATAATTGGTGGTAACTTATACTTGTAGCTTGCAATGCGTGGTGCCCCTGGACCCCAGGGAATGACCGGAATTCCAGGACCTGCGGTAAATCACCTACTTCTTTCTTGATAATGAAAGGATAAATGTTTTAAAAAAGGAAAACAGGAATATGTATTTAGCAAATTGTAGTTTAAATGCGAGTCTACGAGAAAACCATGCAGAATGCTATGAAAGCAAGTTTTTCAAAATTTCTTGAAACTTTGCATACAAAGTGAGATCAAGGTCACTTACTTACTGCGTAAGTTTGGTGACGTCATTTGATTTGTTACCATGGATACAGGGAGAATTAGTTTATCGTCAGCCTATTTCTATACCCAGTATGGAAAAATAACACCTTTTGTACATATTCTGTTTGTGTATAAAAATTTTCCATAATATCTTCATAACTAATGGATTTAAGGAATTAAAACCTTTGAAAAAAATATTTACAGAATTTTTTTCCACATACCTTTTTGAATGTGAAGAGCTACGAGTGCAAAAAGGTCACGATAATTGTAAGAAATAAAGATATTTGAATAGTCTGCAGAAAAACAGCTATAAAATTCCAAGAAACGCTTCCATTGATTTCATATTTTTAAAAAGTGATTGTTTTTAAATATATTATTTAGTATTAATGGGATTTTGGTTGCAAATTTAAATGAATGGAGTTTTCACTCTTGTAAGTGCAGAACTGCAAGTGCAAAAAGGTCACAATAATTCTAAGGGATATTCTGTAGAAAAAACAGGCATAGAATTTCAAGAGACACTTCAGTGATTATATTTTTTTATCAAGAAGTATTTGTTTTAAGATATTTAAGTAAAAATAACAGGCAACTTGGTGGCACATTTGAATTAGTTGATTTTTTCACCCTAGCAAAATTACACTATATCTGGGTAGAAAGGCATACTGGACTACTGGAGTGATTACATTTTGAACGTTAAATCATTTCAGGCACATGACCTTCAATCTTCATGACTGAAATTAGCTTATATTTATCCAGAATGTCACAAAGATGCATGACTTGAATATTTGTTTAACCAGAAGTCTTTTTCGAGACTGTAGCTCTACTGGTTTGTACTTCTAACAAAGGAAGAGATAAGTAGCAGTTGGACTTGAAACTTTGCAACAGAAATAAATAGAATAATGATCCTTGATTTGGTCTCTTTTCATGGAAATCTGACTAAAACTAAAGGGGGAGTAGATTTTAAAAGAATTTTACAGAAATTTCTATTTTAGTAACCATAGCAACACCATTCATCAAAATCAAAATCTGATTAAAAAAATTATGTATCTCAGTGTACTTTACTTGTGTGCCAAGTAATATTGAAATCAGACCAAAACTGTAGGAGGAGTAGCTTTTGTTGACGGACAGACAGACGACCAACCCCTTACTATCGCATAAGCTCTTCTGGTCTCTAACCAGTAGAGCTAAAAATCATGAGTTTTTGACAAGGCTTAATGTATTGTAGCAATGAACTGGCTATACATGTAGCTATGGGGCTCATTTTACAGGATCCCTTAGCATGAAAATGCACATTGCAAAAACTGCAAATACATAAAATTGCAAGTTTAACAGAGAGAGTGTTCAAAAGTGTGAACACATCAGTAAATAAAATCCACTTTTTCACACTGTTGCCCAAATTTCATACAGTTCTTCATTGCAAAAGTTGTTTTTAAACATGCAAAACATTTTATACAAATGCTGATTTTGTTTGCCCTAAAATTATACAAATGAATGAACAGAACAAAGTTTATGTCTTTTTTAATACCATAAAGTCATAAAAACACAACTAGTATTGAAATGAAATATTTGACAATGCTCAATTAAATTCCTTCAACTGCATTTGAAAAATACCAAATGTATCATGTACATGTTACTTTTACAGAGAAAATTTAAAGACAGCAACATTATAAATAAATTTATTACTAAGATGATCTCTAATTTTAAATTGTCAAAAAAAAAAAAAAAAAAAAAAAAAAAAAAAAAAAATTAAAAACTCATTTGAAGCTACTACACTGAAATAAAGCAAAATAATAATATTTGAATTAATATGACAAATAATGGCTATGCTGTTCTTAACAAGACAATTTTTATTGATATATCATTTGTATTCCTTTGTATAACTTTGATCCCCTGTTATGGCCCCCCTATTCTCTTGGGGGGGGGGGGGGGTCATGATTTGAACAAAATTTGAGTCTACATTACCTGAGGATGCTTCCATTTAAATATGACTAATTATGGCTTTGCTGTTCTTGAGAAGATTTTAAAAGGCTTTTTCCTATGTATTCCTATGTAAAACTTTGATCGCCCATTGTGGCCCCACCCTACCCCTGGGGGGAGGGGGGTCATGACTGGAACAAACTTGAATCTTCACTATCTGAGGATGCACCCATATAAAAATGACCAATCATGGCTTTGCTGTTCTTGAGAAGAAGATTTTTACAAATTTTTCCTATGTACATGTATTATATGCAAAACTTTGATCGACCATTCTGGCCCCACCCTACTCCCTGGGGTCATGATTGGAACAAATTTGAACCTACACTACTTGAGGATGCTTCCTTTTAAATATGATCAATCATGGCTTTGCTGTTTCTGAGAAGAAGATTTTTAAAGGCTTTTTCCTATGTATTCCTAAGTAAAACTTTGATCACCCATTGTGGCCCCACCCTACCCCCGGAAGTCATGATTTGAACAAACTTGGATCTACACTACCTGAGGATGCTTCCATATAAGTTTCATATTTTCAAGCACAGTGGTTCTTGACAAGTTTTTAGGTGATGCCATCAATTTTTCACAAATTCATGATTATCTCCCCTTGGAAGAAGGTGTGGCCCTTCATTTGAACAAACTTGAATTCCCTTAACCCAAGGATACTTTGTGGCAAGTTTGGTTGAAATTGGCACAGTGGTTCTTGAGAAGAAGATGAAAATGTGAAAAGTTTACAACCACGACGACAGACAATGTAACTAATCATTTATGTAATGTAATATTATTTCTATATGTTTCAGGTATCAGTCATCCTTAGTTAATTAAAGAGTTACTCATTGGATGATGGTTATCATTTATGACTGATACCAGTTCTACACAATTTGACAATTTTGGTACAAAAGACAATCTATACTCCCCAACATGCCAACGTTAGAGTGCCCTGTATTTGGATGTGAGTGGCAGTCTCAGGACCTGGATGCAGCTTTTGCCGCAGCGATGACGGCAGCCCTCCAGATCCACGATAGAACTGTTCACCAGCCACAGGCCCAGCCAGCAGCTGCCGCAGCTCCCAAACTGAAGTTGGACCCACCCACCATAGCTGCTGGATGTGACCCAGACCAGTGGTCAGCGTTCACTCGACAATGGGAGATGTACAAGGTGGGTATGGCCATTGCCCAAAACGTCATACCCACTGCTCTGTTCTACTGCTGTGACTCAGACCTTCGGACCGACGTCATGCGTGACCAACGAGGTAACATCACAGACATGCCAGAGGCAGACCTGATGAATGTCATTAAACGGCTTGCTGTGAAGGATGAGAGCACATTGGTACAACGCATTAAGCTCAGTAAGATGACACAAGCACCTGGTACCAGCATCAGAACGTTTTTAGCCAGTCTCCGAGGTCAGGCGTCTCTCTGTCAGTACAAGGCCACATGCAAGGAGGAAGGGTGTAACCACATTTACGACTACAGTGATGAGATCATAAAGGACAATCTGGTTAGAGGAATTGCAGACCCTGAAATTTTGTCTGACCTGCTTGGTGATCCTAAGACAGACAGAACCTTGGAAGAGACTGTTTCCTTCATAGCACAGAAGGAACAAGGCAAAGTTACACGGAGTGCAGTTGGAGATTCAGCCGGTGCGATGTCGACAACGGCCCATAGCCAAAAATCAGTACAAGGACCTGGAGGCAAGTGCTGGGCATGTGGTGGACCTGCCCACGGACAAAGAAACGATCGTCGAGCCAGACAAAGAAGTTGCGAGGCCTGGACATCTACATGTGCCAAGTGTAAAGTTAAGGGTCATTATACCAAGTCATGCAGCAAGTGTTCAACGTGTGGTGCCTGGGGACATCGTGATTCATCGTCAAGGGCTTGTACACAGGGACGAGGACAGAAACTCCGCAATCAGGGACCATCACAGGAACCGACGAAAGATGCTGACGACAAGGTTGGTTATGTCTACGACCAGCTATGTACCACATCAGAACAATATCAGAATACAGCACGTCTTGAACATCACATCTTCGAAGGAAAATGGATAGCTAGGCCGTCCAAACCTCATCCGATGCTACTGGTTAATATGACACCTTTGGCCGAGGACCATGCGTCATTTGGACATCCCATCAAAGATGTTACAAGGCTCAAAACGATACAACTGACCATGGTAGCTGACACCGGATGCCAGAGTACGATAATCCCATTGCAGACAGCCAACAACCTGGGAATTACCAGAAAGGACCTAATTCCAGTTAAGCTCGTTATGCGAGGTGCCATCAAAGAAAACCTTGGGGTTATTGGAGCGGTTGCAGTTGATGTGAGGGTCAGAGATGGTTCCAAATCTACACGCATATTATGTTATGTATCTGATGTCATGGAAAAAGCTTTCATCTGCAGGGAGGCACTGGTTTCTCTTGGAATAATTCATGCAGACTTCCCAAACCATCCCGTAGACACATCAGAGAGTTTTGCTTCTGTAGAAGATGAGACTACCTGCTCCTGTCCCAGACGTCAGCCTAATCCACCTCCACTACCAACAACACTACCACCAGGCTTGGACGCTACTGAAGAAAATGTGGATGCATTAAAGGAATGGCTACTTGATTACTACAGTGCTACAACTTTTAACGTATGTGAACATCAACCTTTACCGCTGATGAACTGTGAGCCCCTAAAGCTTCACATAGATCCTGATGCCAGACCAGTTGCTGTTCACAAGCCAGCACTGGTACCCATCCATTGGCAGGATAAAGTCTATGCTGACCTGGAGAGAGACGTAAGGATTGGAGTCTTGGAGAAAGTTAGCCAGAATACCCCTACAACATGGTGTTCCAGGATGGTAGTTACAGGT